CTCCTTGGAGGCAAGGGCTCTGAGCCTCTGTCTAACATACTTTGGACATGTTGTGAGGAGAGATTGGTCCTTGGAGAAGGACATCATGCTTGGCAGGGTGGAGGGACGGCGCAGGAGGGGAAGGCCCTCTATGAGGTGGATTGATTCAGTGACTGGGATAATCGGTATGCGAGTGTCAGAGACAGTGCGATTGGCACAGGACAGAGCAGAGTTTTGGGCTGCTGTACATAGGGTTGCTATGAGTCGTAAGCGACTCGACGGCACATAACAACAACAACAACCACCAGTTTAAAACTGAAAGACATAATAAAATATATAATTTATATTGAAGAATTGATGACAATATGAATTTTCATAACTATATTCTTCATTTATTAAGAAGTATATTTAACTTGGTATTTCATGTAAGTCTAGTGTATTAGATATAAAAATATAAATAGAATAATGAGCTCTTGGAATACAGTAGGAAAGAACTCCCATACATTGAATGGATTTATTCTACACAATAATCTTAAAGTAAAAAAAAAATTCATAAATTCAATAAGTGAATTAGCCTAGATAGAAAAATTATTTCATTCATTTTTCACATTCATTAAAAATATTTATTGTTTTAAGTACTAGGGATATAACAGTGAACATATAGATTTTGCATGGATCCTACATTCATGAAAATTACATGCTGTTGAGGATACAGAGAAATAAATAAATGAATATATTTTGTGATAAATGCTAAAAATGAACTTAAAAAATAAAGAATTAGGAAGTAGGTAGTGATGTAGTAGTTTGAATTTTTAAATATACTTAGGATAATACCTCATGAAGACTTAAAATATCTATTAGCAGAGATATGAATATTTTTGTAGTAAATAATACAGGTATTTACTAGAAGCATAGTGAATGTAAAGACCTTGAAGCAGAGGCACTATATTTCAGGAACACGAAAAAGTCCTATTTAACAAGAGCAGACCAAAAGATTGGTGGATATTAGAGATTTCATAAGAAGAGCTATTAGCTTTTGTGTTAATATGGAATCCCTAGGTGGTAAAAATGCTTAGCATACTTTACTGCTGGTCAAAAGATGAGAGGGGCTACCCTGAGGTACCTTGTAAGAAAAGCTTAATAATCTGTTCCTGAAAACTCACTCACTGAAAATCCTGTGTAGCCATAGTTCCACTTACACACAGGGCTGCTATGAGTCTGAATCAGCTTGATAACAGCTAGTTACTGCATTAAGACAAGAGTAGATGTGTTTGGACTACAATATTAGGTGAAAATATACTAAGAAATAATAAAAATATGTATACAATTTGAAGGTAATAATGAAATTGCTTATATGATAAGTGATAAGATGTGAAGAAGACAAAGTTGATTACAAAGGATATGATATCCAAGAAGATTACATGATTGTTGTTGTTAGGTGCTGTTGAGTTAAATTAAGAGCATAGTGACCCTGTGAACAACAGATCTGAGCCCTGTGCTGTCCTGTGCCATCTTTATAATTTCTGACACACTTGTGTCAGTCCATCTGGATGAGGGTCATCTTCTTGTTTCCAACCCTCCACCTTTCCAACCATGATGGTTCTTTCCCAAGAATAACCTCTCCTAACAACATACCCAAAGAGTGTGAAATGAATCTTGATTAGACAAAGACATTTAAAAGTTTTGTGACAGGTAATTTTAAAAGACATCATGAGTTTTCCGTTTGTCTACAAAAGCTATTCTAAGCACCTATGTTAATTTATATTCCTTTCTTCTTTCATAGTTCTTGCCAGTAGCTTCAGTCCCTATCGGGAAGGAAGATTCATAGAGAGGCGGCTGCGATCCTCATCAGAAGGAACTGCAGGGAGTAGCAGAATGATTGTGAAACCTAAAGATGGAAATATTGAAGACATTAATAGTCTAAGAAAGCAGAGGACAGGTTCCTCATCTTCAAAAATGAATAGCATGGTAAGTGCATACAGTAGTCTGCAGATAATAGAAGAGACATTTATTCTATACAGCTATATATTGGATGCATTGAGTCCTTGCAAGAAAATGAATGCATGCATAAGGATGCTCATCTCAACATATGAAGGGACAGTGGTCCCTATAGTTGACATCAAGGGTAATGCATGCAAATTTTCACGTCAGAAACTTATGGGTTACAACAGATGCACGGGGGAATAGCGCCCCCTACTGTCATGTTTGCTTTGATGGTAATCTTTGTACTCTCCATTTAGAATAAGACCTTGGTTGAATAAACTGAGAAAATGTTTTCCAGTGGTTGATCTTTGACCTTTGTATCGTATCGTATCATTTCATAGCATCTCTTCATCTTGCAAATACATTCATGCCAGTTCTAGCTTTAAACCCTGTAGCGGACCTGCTCACCTGTCTTCTGCAGTGTCCTACCATATGGGATGAGGATACTTTGAGGACCAAGGAGAAATAGTCTTCTCAAGTTCAAATACATTTCAGGTGGCTAACAGCCCAGAATGCCTTCCTTGTCCAAATGTCAAAGGCTGGACACTTTCTTTCAAGGCAAGGGTGGTGGCAGTAGATTATGCAACGGGGAACTATATCTGAGTTTAGACTTTTAGATCAAAGTGTCTAGCTGTGGAGGTGTGAAATGTCCTCACTGAGTAAAACAGTATCAGAAGGAAGACTGCAACATGAGGGGCCCAACCCTCGTATTATTGTTAGATGATGTCAAATTGGCTCCAGCTTATAACAGAACAGTACCTGGTCCTTAGGCTTCATAAGTGTTAGTTTAACTTTGCCTTATGAATTCACTTTCCCAATATCCTTTTAAAACAGTGCCTTTGACTTCTAATACTTAACATGATTTTTCTTTAAAAATAAATGAAATAGTTGCCTACCCTAATAATGGGCATATGTTGTTGAAATGATAGAAAGTAAGTAACTTGAGATATTGCCTTGTATTTTAGAAATTTCAAAACCAAAATAAAAATTACTTCTGTTGACTAGATTCCTCAGAGAAAGTAGTACAACAGTTTATGGAGTTTCCAGGATTGTAAATTTTCACAGAAATAGATGGCTTTGTGTTTCTTCTATGCAACAGTTAAGGGGTTTGAACCACTGATGGTAGTTAGAAGCAAAACAATTTAACCATGTTCCTCATATTTTAAATAAATGAATTTTAAATTAAAATAATCAAGTCATCACATCTGATAATTGTGTCATAAAAAAACCTTATACTAGAGACTTTGAGTTTTATGCTAGTGAGTGGTGTTTGAGTCAAATCATTAGTTTTGTTTGGTTAGATTTAATCTTAGGCCAATAAATAACTGTAAAACAACAGTTGTTTATTCAAAAAAATGTGTTCAGTGTGTGTTTGTGTGAGTGTATGCAGGGTGTGTTTGTGTGAGTGTGTACTTTATGTTACTTTTTTGTCCTTTTGTGCCTTGACATGCTGTAAAACTATACATGTTATATGAATAACCTTTTATTTTTATAGTTATTAAAACATGCTAAAATAGTTGACATTTTTGTAGAATTAAAATTTATAGATGAAGGATTATTAAATCTCCATTATATCATAGTAAAAAGGTATTTATTAATTATCTTCTCATTGCTGTTCTCATTGGAATCGACTCATAGATGACCCTCCATTGGGTCTCCAAGGGTGTAAATCAGAAGAGAAGAGATTGCCCATTCTCTCCTAAGTTACTGTTGATAGATTCAAAGAGAGCTGTGGCTTTTGAGTTGGAAGCACAATTCCATATGAACTATGCCACTGCTGTTGTTGTGAACTGTACAATCAGAACCGACCCGTAGCTGACTCTCCAGCAGGTTTTCAGAAGCAGTTACTTGCACAGGAAGAGATTGCCCATCCTTCTCTTGTGGAGTAGTTGGTAGCCTTGAACCTTCAGGATTTCAGCATAGCTTCTTGCCCCTAGACTTCCACATTTACTACTGTTATATAGAATTTAGTAAACTTGGCCAAAGTTGAACTTTTGTGTATTCTTTTATATCTCATGTTTCTCGTACTACTTAATATAATTGGATACCTTTAAAATTACTGTTTAGTAATCAAAATTCAAGATTTGAAATTGACCAATCTAAAAAACACATAAACCAACCAATCCAAAATCTAGCTTCATTATTTTATTTGTGGCATATAAAAAATATTTCAAAAACCTTGATCTGCAGTAAAGTATATGTACCACTAGATGGCAGGAAAATACCTTTGCCGCTGTTGAACTGTGTCAAGGTTTGAAGAGAAATTTGGTGCAACAGTTACACATCTTCACTGGATTTACTGATAAAACAATGTAAGAAAAAAATGCCAATGTATTATAATTTTCCCATTAAATAATTTTTAAAAAGCACTTTGTAATTTCTGTTTTCATTTACAATTTGTATCTAATATTTCAGTTAGCTTAATGATTCAGTAATTTAAGTCTGGAGGGTCAAGAAAAGAAAGAAAAAGAACTGTTTAAAAGGAAAATATTATTAGAAATTATATGTATGGAAAGCTCTCAGAATGAGAGATACATTGGAAAGAGAACTGGGGGGAGAGCGAGGTAATTGTGTAACAATGAATGAATATATAAACACACACACACAAATGTAAACAGTGGGAAGGGGGAAGGCAAGGAGAGGGAGTAAAAATGTGCAACAATGGATGAATAAAAATCTAACTTTTCTGTAAACTTTTGTTAAAATCACAATTAAAATAAAAAAAATTACTTAAAGAAAAAAGAGGAAGAACCTGTACCAGGTAGATTTATATGGTGACTGCTGCACTGTGCTTTACTTTGTCAGGAAGTGTGAAGATGGCACATAATAGGACAAGATTCAGATCTTTGCTTCATAGGGTCATTACGAGTCATATCCAACTCAAGAGCACTTAACAACAATAAGATATTTTAAATGCATAAAATATATTCTTTAACTCATAGTAGAATGCAGAGATCTGGTGTTGCATTGCCAACCCAAAAGCAAAAAAAAAAGCATCAAAAGCCTTTCGAAAGAAGGTACCCTAGTAAGAAGAAGTCTTATTTCCAGAAAAAGTGTTACAAAATGTTTGACCAACCTCATAAAAATATAGAGCCCTACTGGTTTAATGGGTAAGGAGTTGCACTGCTAACTCAAAGGCAGATGATTAGAATCCACCAGCTGCTGCGTGAAAGAAGGACAGTTTCCTCCCCTTAGATTTATAGGTTCTGAAAATCCACTGTAGGGTCAGCTGTAAGTCAGTTCTGACTTGACAAAGCATAACAAAACAACAACAGTCACCATAATTCAGAACATAACCTATGAGTGTGTCTGGATTTGCTAAGGACTGTTATCAAAGTCTTTACTGAGGGATATTTCATGTTAGAAATATACCAAACAAGAGATTCTATACATAGAAAGTAGCTGACTCTTCCTTAGAGGGGATGAACTGTATGAAGTTTGTGGAGTGTGTGACTCTGTTTATTTGTTGTTATTGTTGTTGTTAAGTGTCGTCGAGTTGCAGGCGACTCATAGTGACCCTATGAAGGAGAGTCCTCGATGCTTGGGTGCCTTTCATCCTCTCTCTCCAGGTTCATAGGGTTTCCAGAGGCAAGCTATTATGGAAGCAGATGCCACTCCTCCTTCCATGCTTGTTTAATCGGGGAGCTCCACCCCACTCTCAGTCCTCTGAATTTCTGAAAGGTCCACTCAAATGAACTGGATATCCCACAATTCCAAGGATTTTATTTACTTTTAATGTGCAACAATCTGAAAAAAGAGAGGGCACTGTTTTAGCTCTTTAAACAACAGTAACTCAAAAGAAATTGAAAATTCCTTGAACTTAATACAAGAAGACAAAAGGTATCTGGAAAAATTTGATAAGCATTGACATTTATTTTGTATTTTTTTAAGGTTACAGTAAGTAAAAACTCCCTTAAATTGCTTATAACGAGTCATTTTATATTTCTCTTCTGTCGTTCATTATCATTGAGTCATAACTGACTCTCCAGCAAATTTTCAGTGGCTATAAGTCAAGTGGGAGGAAATTACCCACCTTTCTCTCAAAGAACAGCTGGTGAATATGAACCACATTTTGGTTTTAGACTAACTCCCTACCTATTAGACCACCAGAGCCCAAGAATCTTATTAGGAACATTTTGGCAACACTTTTGCTAACATTTTTTTTCTGAAATTGGACTTTTTTTCTTTCCAGGTACTTTCCTTCCAAAGTATATTCCTGGATATACATAAGCAATTTGTTGTGGTTTCTCTAAGAAGTCCAGTTCCAAACAGTTACAAGATTATCTAACTCCAGATGAGATTAGCATATTATATATGCTAGGGGGGAAAAGTACACAACCATTTTAGTCAAGATAAGTAAGACTTCATGATAATAATAACCTCCAAATCTTAGTATATTTTGTAATATTCTTTTATGCTACTTATTTGTAGTGGAAGCATTTGGAGTTCTGTCTGTTTCTCTCTTAAGTTCTGTCTGTTTCTCTCTTAAGTTTTTGTACCAGCTTCCACCACAATCAATGTCTCCCACTATTTTAAAAAGAAAAACAGTACCTGAGTCTCTGATTCTTGAGAGAAAATGCTCTCCCACAGCAGAGTCTCACTGGATTTCCACTCAAAGATTGTTGGCAAGATATAGTCACGTAACCCGAACTAGTTGCAAAAGCAGTTAAAAGTATGTGTCTTCCTTGTGTCTGGAAGATGTTGCTTGACTCAGGAAGGTTTGGTGAACAGTTGTTGTTGTTATGTGCCATCGAGTCTCTTGCGACTCATAGTGACCCTAATGTACAAGAGCCCTAGATGCTGCTCTATCCTGTGCCAACCTTGCCATCTCTGATACACTCATTCCCAGCATCACAATCACAGAGTCGATCCATCTCATTGAGGGTCTTCCTCTCCTGTGCCATCCCTCCACTCTCCCAAACATGATGTCCCTCTCCAAGGACCAGTCCCTCCTTGCAACATGCCCAAAGTATGTCAGACGAAGG